CCGTGTTCCTCGCCCCGGGAGCAGGAAGTCGGCTCAGTGGGAAGGAAGGGGAAACACCTGTGGTCACAGGCTTTGGGTTACCCCCGTGCTGCTCTCGGACAATAAACATGACCTTCAGCTGCGCTGCACAGGCTGGCAGGTTCTGACCTGGCCTGGTGAACAGTGTCTGAGAGAGAAGGCTCTAAAGGGCCCCGTTGTAGTGAAGCTTTTTAACCAGAACGATCTGGAGAGGCGATGGTTTCTGTAACAGATGAGTATCTCTTCCCCGGCAACAGATACGCCCGGGCGGAAACAGGAGCCGCTCGTCTGCCTGGAAGAGGGCGGCTCTGCTGTCCCAGGTGCCCAGGGCAGCGACCTTGGGAACTGTGGCCCTGCTGTCCTCCGTCATCCTGACTTACGATAAGCTCAGATAAGGCGCTGGCTCAGGCGGGGGAGATCTGTTAGGGGAAGGCGCAGCGCTGGGAACTGCCGCAGCGGGAGAGCTGACAGCGTTTATAGGTGCTCGTGGCCCCTGCCCAAGTGCAGCTCCTCTCCTGTGGAGGGGCTCCCACAAGCGGAGAGGCACCCCGGAAGCTAAGAGCACTTACAGGCTGCAGATGCCCTGTCCTCACACAGGAGTGAGTCATCAGAACAGGCTGGCCTGCTGGCAGCTGCTGTTAACTCATTGCTTGCCAGACCCTGGTCTTCCTGACGGGTGTTTTAAAACTCACCTAACCAGTGTGCACTGGGGAGTGAGAGGACGGGCAGAGCAATGGTTAGTGCACTCCCTCCTTTGCCTTTCGGCTTGGCACTGGGTGAGTCCTCTGTAGGATCCCCCCCCCCCCATGTGGTTTGCATGGGCCTCGTGGCAGAGGGCGTGCCCTGGCGTCGGAGATGTCTGTAGGGACTTACCACTGAGTTCCCTGGTCCCAGCCGCCCACTCCTGGCGCGGAGGTTCGACCTTCTGAAAGAGGCGGCTATGGCTCAATTTCAGTGGCGCCGAGCTGTACCCTCCTCCCTGTGTGTCTTCTGGCCAGGACGAAACGCACCCGTGCAGCCTTCCGTTTTCATGGGAAGAGTCCCGAACCCCCATGTTACGTTTAATGTGTGTGCTTTTAAGACAAGCTAATGGTTTCTCCCACCCCCCGGGTAGCCGCAGAGCCTTTTAAAGTGCATTGTATTTTTCTGCCATTCTCCTTTTACATTTATCTCCCTGACCTGAAGCATGCTTATGAATAAAGTATTAGTGTACTCTCAGTGACCTGATTATATTCCCAAATCAGCCTTTCATGGGCTTTATTAATAAGGAATGTGCTCTTAGAACTTTGGAAATATTGAATAATTGGTGATACATGCTATATGTAATAAAATCTCTTCCAACGAGCTTGGTCTGAGTTCAGAAAGTGGAAAAAGTGTAGGTGTGCATACAGTCACAAACAGGCCAGGGACTTACTGCCGATAAACGCTGTGAAGAATGGGAACTGGGGTTTAAGGTTAACATTCATGCTGTGCCCGTCGGAATTCCGGGGTGAGAGGCATGTGTGGGCTGGTGCCCTCCATCAGAAGCACATGTAGGAGCAAGGAATGGCTTCTGATGTAGGAGACTGGCCTCGGGCTCACAGGGTGGGGGCTGAGAATAGCATTGCAGTGAGAAATGGGGGAGGAACTGTAATTTTAGGGAAGAATTAGCATGTACTGTGGCCGGGGAGGAGCAGAAGAGACACTCAGGGTTGTATTGGGAAGAGGGTACCTACTTGATGGCTCTGAGCACCACGTGGACGGTGTGGGCCGTGAATGCTGGTGAGAGCCATGAGGAGGCGTGGCAGCCCTGGGGCTCCCCAAGTCTTGTGAGCTGGCCGGAGGGAATGGAGAGATTGACCAGGAGCCTAGGTGCTCCCAGAGGGAGAGAGAGGGGCGCAGACAAGACAAGACAAGGGCAGTGATAGCACCGTGTTCTGCCGGGGGTGAGAGAAGAGGCAGCAGGCTGAGGAGTCCTATCAGGAATGATTCGGGGGGCGGGGGGAGGGCAGGTGTTGACACCCCTTGCTGAGAACAGCAGTGATCTGAGCAGTGTCTTGTGAATAGGGTAAGGAGTAGGTGGAGGGTGGAAGGAGGACTAGACGCAGGGCCCCAGTGAGGAGAAGCGGATGAATTGGGTAGCGCTGTTTGAGGAAGTTAGGGAGGTAGAATTAATCATGACTCTAACGGACTCCCCAATTTGAATATTTGGTAACTTGGGAGAAAATGTTTAGTGAACACACTTTTTAAATTGAGATGTAGTCGACAACTGACTGAGCGTAAGGTGTGCAATGTGTTGATTTGAGTGAGTCCACCATTTCATGAGCATCTATTTGAGGGGGAGCCACGCGGCTCATGTGGGAAGAGCAAGGCGCAGTCTCTGCCCAGATGGAGCTTGCGTTGAGGGGGGAGGGACGCGGAACGGGGGTAACTACCTAAAGCCAAGTGCCTGGAGCCCCGAGGAGAGAAAGCAAGGAAGGGGCTAGAGCAGTGGTTCTCAACCTTCCGAATGCCGCGACCCTTTGATACAGTTCCTCATGTTGTGGTGACCCCCAATTTCGTTGTTACAAATTGAACATAATTAAAGCACAGTGATTAATCACAAAAACAATATGTAATTATATATGTGTTTTCCAATGGTCTTAGGCGACCCCTGTGAAAAGGTCATTCGACCCCCAAAGGGGTCGCGACCCACAGGTTGAGAACCGCTGCTCTAGAGTGCCAAAGAAGAGGGCAGTGCTTTAGAGCTGCCTGGGAGTGAGACAAGGCAGAGGGAGGGGGCGCCCCTCTCCAGCTGGGGGACAGCACCCAGCAGCAGGGGCAGGCCTGGATGCTCGGGACCAACAGAACAACTGCCTGGCCGGGCAGAGCCACATGGGGCAGAGGGTGAGGAAGGAGAAGTGTGACCGGAGTGGAGCAGTTAGAGCCCTGAAGCCACAGTGAGGGTTTGCCTTCTGTACGGGGTGTGATGGAGGGCCACCAGAAGTGCCACGATGTCTGTTTTAAAAGCTGCTTGTGTGCTCAGCTGGCGTGGCTCCGTGGTGAACATCAGCCTAGGAACCAGGGGTCACGGTTCCAGTCCTGGTCGGTGCACAGGCCCGGGTTGTGGACTCCATCCCCAGCGTGGGGCGTGCAGGAGGCAGCCGATCCATGATTCTCTCTCATCACTGATGTTTCTATCTCCCTCTCCTCTCCCTCTCTCTCTGAAATCAATAAAAATATATCTTAAAAATTTTTTAAATAAAAAGCTGCCTGTGGCAGCGGAATTGAACAGAGGAATACAACCACGGGCCGCCTCACGAGGGGTACGGTCTGAAAAATGTGTCGCTGGGTGATGTCGTCGTGCAGACATCACAGAGCACCTGCGCGCACCTAGACGGCAGGCCCCGGGCTCTGGGACACACCCCCTGGGCGGCAGCCCCGCTGACCCACACTGGTGATGCGATGAGAGCCTGATGATAGCCAGAGGCTGTCGCATCCCCCGGGGGGATAGGGACGCAGTCGAGAGGGGTGAGAAGTGGGTGCTGACCACACTGGAGGTGGAGCCTGTTTGTCGATGAGGCAGATGTGGGCTGTGAGGCAGAGTCAGGGACGCCTCCACGTCTGCGGGTGGGCTGTGTCCCTTAGAGAGAGCTCGTTCTGCCTCTGACGGAAGCAGGCCCTCTCGCACAGCCCTCGGAGGGACCCGCCCCGCGCTCCTCAGTGCAGCCAGGGCAGCAGCTTGGGCCACGGGGGAGTGGTGCCCTTCCATACGGGGGTGCCGGGAGAGGAGCTACGAGGTGGGGGTGGGGGAGGCGGTGGAAGTCGGAGACACCTGATAAACATCCTGGAGGCAGCATCCAGCAGGCGGTCGGATGTGGGCTTTCCGAGCCCGGGTGGCAGCCTGCGGGGAGGTGTGCCATTTTTAAATAAAGAGATTAAATAAATATAATTTTATTGATTTCAGAGAGGAAGGGAGAGGGAGAGATAGAAACATCCATGATGAAAGAGAATCATGGATCAGCTGCCTCCTGCACGCCCCACATTGGGCATCGAGCTGGCAACTCGGGCATGTGCCCTGACCGGGAATTGAGCCCTGACCTCCTGGTTCATAGGTCAATGCCCAACCACTGAGCCACACTGGCCGGGCTCAGGTTAAAATCTCGGAAGAGTGCCCAGGGCTGTGGCTTTGTCTGTGGATAGCTGGTTTACTTTCCACCCCTCCACTTAAAACTTCTCTCTTCCACCATTAAGTCCAATATCAGTTGCTGAAGTTGCAAAGTATAAGATAAAAGTGGGAATTTACGAAGTATTTACAAATAGTGTACGTTCAGTAATTTACTTTCTGAAAACCAGGGCTGGCTAAAGGCTGCATGAAGGCGCAGGAAACCCAGAGGCCTTTGGGATAAACCAGCCTTGTCCTTGTCATAAGACAAGACGGTGGGTATTGTCAACGGCAGGGACCTACTGCGTGGGGAGGGTCGCCACCTGAGAGCAGTGTTGGGGCTGAGCCGCCGGGCTTGCGTATAAGACCGTCTTCCTGTGACAGCCTCGTCCGGGGTCCAGGTGCCTCGTGCTGAGCGCGGCCTCTGCAGGCCTGAGAGGAGCCGGTGATGGCGATGGGGAGACGGTGACTGGGGCAGGGCCTTTGTTTTCAATCATGATGAGACGTGAATGCTGTGAGCACTGTCAGCTCACAGTCCTGGACACGCAGGGAGAAGGGTTCTGGACACATTTCAGAGGCCCAGCCTGTGTTTCGCACGCAGGTTACAAGTTTGCATCCTTTTGCGCCTGGTGACATCATTCCATCCCTTCCCTCCTGCATCTAATCTTTAGTGTTGAATTTCCCAGAATCCTCTAGTGAAACAGGAAAGTAATGCCCCCGTGCCTGCCTTAGGTGTGGACGTGCATGCAGCTGGGGTAACTGGGCGACCGGATGGAGCGTCCCCAGCTCGCGGGAACCCCTGGGTGCCGGTTCCATTCTGTGTCTCCCCCGTGAAAACTGACTGTTCCTGTCTTCTCAGGTGAAGTCGGTGATAAACCTCCTGTTTGCGGCCTACACGGGAGACGTGTCTGCACTTCGGAGGTACGTTCCCGGGAGGGTTGGCGAGCGGCTCACAGATGTTCATGAAGCAGCTTCTGGGCACATGGCCATCGGAAGGCTAAACCTACTTGCATGTCCCTCTAATATAAAGGACCCGAACTGATGTGTATTAAATGCCCGCTCCCAGGGCGCTAGGCTTGCTGTGCAGTCTCCTCCCTCCCTGCCTCCAGCAAAGCCCAGGCCCCTCTTGTCCTAAGTGGTAGCGGGACCTTCTCCAGCCCCAGGCACCCTCCACCCCATCTCTGGCCGGAGCGGGAGGGAGGGGCAGTAAACAGGCCACATGGCACTGCGTATCTAACATCAGGTCTTGTGTGTAGAGCTGCACCTCCAGTGTGATCAAGTCTGTGCTTAACTTTCGTCATTAGAGTCTGTCAGTCCTGTGTCAGTGCTGTACCGTGCACTTCAGAGTCGCGGAGAGACTGGTCTTCATGTTCTCACCACGAAAACAATGATGTGGGCTGCCAGGTGTTAGCTAACCAGCACTTCGCTGGTATTTATATTGCAATATATAAACGTATGCAGTCAACACATGTACACCTTAAACATACATCAAGTTACATGTCAATTACATCCCAATACAAATGTGCTCTCCAAAGACAGTTAAGAAAAATAAGGTGATTGGTTCTGGCCCTCTGTGGCCTGTAACCTGTTGAATGGGAGCTGGGGGGACACTGAGTGAGGCGCTAGTTGCTTGCCCGCTGAAGCGCACACTTCGCATGGTGGTGTCGCTGCCCTTGAGTGTGAGTAACTGGAGTGACGCTCACCCTGTGCAGAGGGCGAGCGCTTCCTCTTCCCCAACGAGAGCAAAGCTGAGGAAGGGGGTGAGGTGGCCGTGGCCAGGACGCTGGTCCTGGCGGGACCGGGCCTCGAGCTCCGGGTGATGAGCCTGGCAGAGGGCCCTGCCTCTAGGACCTTAGCCCGAACCCAGGGTGTGATGCTGTGTGAGTGTAACATTTTGTAAACACACAGTGAAGAGCTGTGCCTCCACATTTTCAGGTTCGCCCTGTCGGCCATGGACATGGAGCAGCGGGACTATGACTCCAGAACGGCCCTCCACGTGGCTGCCGCGGAGGGTAAGGACGTGGCCCCGCGCCCACGTGTTTTTCAGACTTGGCTTTGACTTGGCACTCAACTCTGCCTGCTTTGTGTTGGATACAGGTCACGTTGAAGTCGTGAAATTTTTGCTGGAAGCCTGCAAAGTCAACCCTTTCCCCAAGGACAGGTGAGCCCAACAGGCCTTCTAACACCGTGGCAGGTCCAGGGTGTGCTAGTTAACGGTGGGTGTTTAAACCCACCAGGTGTATGTGGGAGGCGTGCTTGAACTCGGGGTGGTGCCTTCTAAAGGCAACACCAAACCGTGTCTGCTGGGGAGAGGGCCCTCTCTCCCCTGTTCTATTTCTTACCCAAAGATGGTCTCTTGTCCAGCATTTTCACGTCAGTGTGACTGTGGTCAGCACACGTAGGAAGAAAACAACTGTTTGCCCTTGGAAAGAGGAAGTAGGAACTGTGTCCTCAGGGATTTTCAGCGACACAGGGTAGCCGAGACATGGACAGGCGCGCACTGAGAGCGTGTATGAATGCTACTGCTCTGGAGCCCCCAGCGAGCGTACGGGGTTTCCGAAATGCCCCATTGGGTCCGAGTACCTCTCGGAGGCTTCGAGGAAGTGGGACTTCAATCCGTGCTCTGGGGAGACGAGGCTGGAAGGCCGGGAGAGACGGGCCTGGAACACAGTTCACTCCTCTCCTCTCCCTCTCGGCCCACATGGCAAACTGCCACTCATCCTGCAGGCAGCGTGTCCAGAGGACGGCCCAGGAGCAGTGCAGCACGTGTATCTGGTCGAGCTCTCCCCACGCACTCGCACGTCAGAACTGCACGCGTGCTTATGGCTCACACACGGTAGAACTGCACGCGTGCTTATGGCTCTCACACGGTAGAACTGCACACGTTCTCACGGACTTAGGTGCCCGTGCCTACAGGGTTACGTCCTGTGGACTGACCCCTTTATTGTCATGTAGTGCCTGTCTCTTCTCACGGCCTTTTAGCTTTGTTGTTAAAGTGTAGTTTGTCTGACATGAGTTTTTCTACCCCAGTTTTTCCCCCCTTTGTATGGAATGTTTTTCTATCCCTTTACTTGCAATCTGTATTTTCCACTGAGGTGGATCCCTTGTAGACAACATACATCATATCTTGTTATCCGTTTTGCTACCCTGTCTTCTGGCCCATGAGTCAGTGAGGAAGGAGAATAAAGGTTTAGAAGAATGGAAGGAGAGAAATACTCGGAGAGAGTGGATATTAATGAGTGTGGATTGGATAACTGAGGACTATATTAAGTTTGGAGCATGTTGGTTATTCTCTAGTTAAGGTTTTACTTTTTTAAATTAGAGGTTTGGCTTTTATTAGGTCAGCTTGCAAGAAATGCAGGAAAGTTATGGAGTCCGTGCCTGAAAACTGTGAGCAACTTTGTCAGTGTGGTAACAGTTGGTTCCCCAAGGCCATCCTTTATTAGCAGCATCCTAAAACCTCACCTGGGACGACAACCCGCCCTTTTATCCCCAGACGTGACGCCCATGCCGGCTCTTTCCTTAGCAAGAAACTGAACAGCGCTCCTCTCACTCTATTTATAATCCCAACCACATTACTCACCACGTGTGGAGATACCTACTGTGCTTGCGTATTTAAGGATTGGGGCGTGTTGTGGTTTTTTTGTCCTAATTGGCCAGTAGGAACGTGGAAGTGAAGTACCCATCTGATAGCAAAGGTTAGCTAGGCAAATAACTTGGTAATTAGGTATTCAACTATTTGAGATTGTACGTTAAACCAAGACAATTCTTTCTTCTGTTTCATAGTCAGCATCACCTCCACTTGAAGAATAGGCTTGAGCAAATTTAGTGTATTCTGTAAAGTTGATATTTTGCATTATTTCATGGAAAAAGTTGTAAAAAAGGTAACTTGCAGTTAACATTCAATCCGCCCCTCTCGCCCCCCAGAAAGACAGGGGACTGAAAACTGTCCTCACCTCCCATTTAAGGCCACCGACTCCCTAAATAAATGAAGGCCAGTAAAGAAGTAAAAGCAACTTAATTCAGCTGGGGACTTTTGCAGGGAAAAATACATGTAACACGTTACTTACCTGATTTTAAAAATTAAGAACAGGTTACCCAACTTTATCCAGAAATATTTTCAATTGAAGCTGTGCCTACAAAACCTTGTGGGTCCATGTGTGGCCTCCTTCAGACGGTGAAAGGTTAAGGACAGAGATGGAGGAAACGGAAGGAAGGGAAGCCAGAAGGTGGCGGGTGACATGAGCCCGAGCGCCTGGCGGCCAAGGACCAGCGACATGAGTGGGGAGGAAGGGGGGCTTCATCGTTTGTGAGGCGTTAGGGGCCAGCGGTCACCCTCTGTCCCTTCCTTGGGTTGTGTGTCACCGTCGGCCTCGTTTCTTAAAAGGCCAGTGAGCTGGTTCGCCACTGCGGGCCACTCTTCATGTCTTCTCATCGGTCTTCCCCTGTCACCCTCAGAGCACAACCCCAGCAACACGGCGGGTGGCCCTGGGTCCCACCTTCACCAGAGAGGAACACGCCCATTCCTCGGGTCGATCTTCTCCCTACAATGTGTGCTTGCGCCCTGATGAGGTCGAGGTTATTTCCAGGCCTTTGAGACTCACTGTGATTCTAATGAATAGGAACGTAATTTTCCTAGCAAAGGCTGGGGCGTGGATGCTACAAACCTGCGTTTTCTTTGGACTTTTTATTGAGAGCGAGCTCCCTTGAGCTTTTCAGGCAGTCCCAGCTCGGGGTCAGGAGTCCCCTGTGTCCGCCAGCACCAGGACTTCCCCTCCGGAGGCACCTACATACTGTCCTCCTCCTCCCCGGGCCCCCAGGCTGCCCCCCAGGCCGCTTTTTGAACCACAAGCCCCTTCTGGTGGTTGCTGGTCACATGGCTGAGCTGGCACGGCCCTTCCCTGCCCCCGAGCCCGGAGGTGCCGGCTGCGCTCCGTCCCCCCAGGCGCCTCACGCCCCGTCCTGTTGCTGCCCGCCCAGGTGGAACAACACGCCCATGGATGAGGCGCTGCACTTCGGCCACCACGACGTGTTCAAGATCCTGCAGGAGTACCAGGGCCAGTACACGCCGCAGGGCGACGCCGACGACGGGAAGGAGAACCAGACGGTGCACAAGAACCTCGACGGCCTCTTGTAACGCCCGGAGCCCACGCAGTCACGTACCTGTGTCACGTGGACTTGATCATGGCGCGCGTGTCTTTCTGCCTCTAGGTGTGTCTCCTACAGCATGGGTCGGCGCCGTGCTACCGGCAGTCTCTTCGCTGTACGCCCAGGACAAACCTGATCTCTTGGGGACAAGATAGAAATAAAACCACCTCCCTCCACAATGTGAGCACTGTCGACCTGGTGCACTGTAGAACCCGATGTAGAAGTAGTGCCAGTGCTGGCTTCGCGTGAGGTCCTCATGATTCTTGTGTTTCGTGGACTTTCAGTTTTACGCATCAATAGAAATTAAGCTGTTATACATACAGCCTGTCCACAGGGGCGAGGCTGCCTTTAGAAGCAAAATAGTGTGATTTCCAGGACTCCACATAGAGACTTAGTCTGAGCGTTTGAACAACTGCCTGCACTTATGGTTGTGTGTTGAAGATTTCTCCCATCCCCCTGGCTTCATGATGTGACTTTAAAAATTATCATAGTTAACAGCTGTGAGTAGGATAGACCAACTCTGATCAGACTATCAGGGCATCTGTTCAAGATATGTTTGGTGACCAAAAAAGTGTGTCAATGGAGTTCTACTTTTGGAAATTTTTCCTTTTTCTTCGTCCCCTCTGTCCAGCCTCGGCCCTTCAGCTGGGCAAGGGGGCGTGGCAGGCCCGTCCTCATGTTTCCGCACGTCAGATCTGGCATGTGAGCTGTAAGGAGCTGCCTGTCTATAGATGAACCAGACAAACGGAGTATGCATTGGCCACATTGACCCGCCCAGAGGGGGTGTGCTACTGCGGCTCTAAGACGACATTTCTCAGCTTCCAGGGTAACTTGAGAAGTGCTCCGAGTCCGAGGGGAACCGCTGCAGAAGCTGCACTGAGAGGTCTGTTCCCTGTGGGGTCCACCAGGTCACGCGGTTCCTTGATTCTCTAGCGGACCCTTGGGTGCACTGCAGCGTTTTACAAGGCCAGATCATTTTAAATTGAGCCCCAGCATTTTTTGGGGAAGGAAAAATGCACATATACTTTGAAGGGATATGTTAGTGAGAATATCTGATATTAAGTGCACACACACACACGCACGCACACGACTTCTTCGAAGCTGTTTAGTGAAATGAGCAGAACTCTCAACCCCAGAAAAGCTAGTGGCTACATTAATACGGCAAATCCCTTCTCCTTTTCTATGGGCAACACGCTATTTCCGAGGTTTATGGTGCCTGACGGCCCGTTGACCCCGCTAGTGGCCTCCACGTGTTTCGATTTTTGCTTCCGTCTAAGTTAGAGGCTCGACCCCGCCCGCTCCCTGACAGCGCGTCCTTGAGGACGTGTGGCTGTGGCCGTGGCCGTGGAGGACTGAGCCGCCAGCACGAGGCCGGCCCGTGTGTCTGTGGGAACAAGGCGGCGGGCCTCCAGCGGAGCCCGTGGAGCCAGGCAGCCGGGGAGCAGCGTTACCCCGGGCAGACCCCCACCCGACACCAGCGGGGTCCCCACTTCAGGAGCAGCGCTGTGAGCTGAGGGAGCTCTCAGACGGCTCCTGTGGCGGAAGGTTACTGATGACCCGGACGCTTTTCTTTAATGAAAAGAGGTTCTCGCTATTATTTCCGAACAAAGCCTTCCCCTTTTCCCCGATTACGACTATTTTGTAAAATCTTGTGGTTTAGCTCCATGTGCCCTTATCTACCCATGAGGTTATGTGCGCTGCACACTGGCTCCTGCTGTGGCCGCTGGCTGTAGGCTGACAGTCTGAGTACCTTTGGTTTAAATGCTTTAGGCTGTGCTGCTAATGGATGCCACCTGTATACTCCAAAGATCTCTGTGTTTAGGCTCCTCTGCCCAGGGGAGCACTCTGGTGACGTTTACTCAAGCTTTGTACTCACTGCTGTTTGCTCTCTGGGCTCTGTGTTCTCATCACGGGTGCAATGTGCTGCCCCCCGCACGCTCCAGAACTGGGGCGCTGTTGTCTGTCTGGCCGGGCCTGGGTGACCGCCTGTTGGGTTTAGACTCTTCCTGGGGATTGTTCAGCTATGAATGTATTTGCCGCCAGAACCTCCCACAGTGAACTAATCGTAACTGTTCAGTTGTAAGTATTCTGAAGTCGGGAAATATTTATTTTAAGTGAAATCGGGTAGTGTTGCTTTCCACATCGTAATAAACACATGTATAAAAAAACGTATGACAATGAAATTTTTAAAAAAACAGCCACGGGGTCTCTGCCAGCCCTGTGGTGGGCATGCCCTGGGCAAGGCCGCGCTTGGCTGGGTCGGATCCATTCCTGATGCCCGCGGAGAGCCAGGCGCTGGGCAAGGTGTCAGGGGCGGGCACCGTGGTGGTGAAGGTGAGAGCCCTGTGTGGACTCCATCTCTGAAAGCGAGAGGGTGGGGGGCTGGGGCAGTCTTCCTGTCTCACCTGCTGACATGACAGTGAAGTGAGTAAATCTGCAGTCGCAGACCAGGTGGTACACAAGTAGCTCAGGAATGTGTGAGGCGGCACTGAAACCAAAGGCGGGGCGGGGGCTGTTACAGTTGATGGACAGGACGGGGTTCAGGAGGAGACGGGAAGGCAGGTGTGTGTTCAGATGGGAAGGTGGGAGAATTCAGTCAGCTATTAAAAGGGGCAAAGACTGGGTGTTTCGATTCTGTTCCGGAGCCTGAGCCCCGGCCTCCGTGTGCCCCCACCCCCACCCCCAGGGGTGAGTGAGGCCGCTAGGAAGTGAGTCCAACAAACAGTCATGGAGCAAGAGCGGCTCAAGGCGCTTCCCTCTGGGACAAGAAATGGGAGAGGCTGTGAGCAGACACCACACCGGGCGCAGAGGGCGCAGCGGGTCGACCCAGAGCTTAGCTGGTGTGACGGCAGGTGTGTGAGCGCGCTCTGTGCAGGTGCCTGAGCACCTTTATACACTTTGTGCACCCATTTAACCCTAATAAACGTGTTTAAGCTGCTTGCCTGGGGCTCTTTCTTCAATCGGTCACACAGACACTCCATTTCTCGGTGTGAGAGACACTAGGCGGAGCTGGGTCTTAGGTCGGTTTCACGGAGTCGAAGGAGGTTCGGAACAAGTGCCGCCTTCGGCTCCCAGAAGCCACCGTAAGGCCATCTCCTTGAAATGTGCACGTTTTTATAGAACATTGCAGGTTCGGAGCTTGGCTGTGTCTGTCTCCCGCTTTGATGAGTGAGACGACTGTGCCCGCGCGATGCCCAGGGCCTCAGAGCACCCCACCCGCAGCCGGGCTCTCCGCCTGGCGGCGTCTCCCACCCCAGGGCGCTGGCTCGGGGCAGGTGCTCAGTGTGTGATGAACCAGTGAACGACCGAGCACCCAGAAGCAGCCATTCGAGGCGATGCCCTTCCTGCGGGGGCAGCACCAGGTCACAGGGGCACCAGGATTCTGGAAAGAGTCCCTGGCTTTTCTCACTTTCTGGGATGGCCAGAGGCGAGTGAAGCACTCCATTCCTCAAGACTTCCTATTCCACGCTCGCTGGCAGCCAGCAGGCAGACTTAACGCGTTAACGCCAGGGAAGTAGCAAGATCTAGGTCCTGCCTCCCGGGCGGCCCTCTTCCCCAGTGAGGAGGCATTTCCCCCAGGGGCCACCTGGAAGCGGACGGAACACGGCACAGACACCACATGGATCACCCCTACACGCCCTGAGCCACCTCTACTCGTGACTCACACGTGACTGACTGTGAGAACACGCGGACTCGGGCAGTGGGCTCTGGCTCCGTTCCCCGCAGGGTCCCCTGCGTGTGAGTCCTGCAGGGACGGAAGGGAGAGGGAGGCTGTGGGTCATGGTGCTCGTCTGGCTTCGGAACACGGCTGCTGCCCGACACCCCCCACGGCGTGAAGTCGCTGCCAGTCCTTGCCCCACTCCCAGCCACGTGCCTCTACCTGCGAGCACCTTGGGGAAGGGCACCTTTCCGCACGGGGCAGTGACGTCCCAGCCACAGCTCCCGGTCACGGGGGTGGGAGTCAGATGGAGACGACAGAGTCCCACCTGACAGGCACTTCGGCGTGAAGCCGTGTCAGCAGCACCGACGTTCATTTAGAACAAGCGCCTCGTTATTTGTGCACAGGGGGCAGCTGTGGTCGCAAGGCCACGGACTCGTCTGCTCTTTAGGGCGCCCGCCACAGCCTTTCTCACATGTCCTCCGACTGTGGCCATGGACCGCCTCGACCTGATGGCGAGCAGGTGAGGAGGCACAGCGCTGAGCAAGATGATGTTGTTAATCTCATTTTAAAGCAGTGGCGGGGGCCTTTTTCCTGCCAGGGGCCACTGGATATTTATAACGTCATTCTCGGGCCAAACAAAAGTATCAGCTTAAAAAGCAGTAGCCTGCTGCCCTGGCTGCTGTGGCTCCGTGGATAGAGCATCAGCCTGCGGACTGAAGGGTCCCAGGTTCAATTCCGGTCAAGGGCACATGCCAGGTTGTGGGCTCGATCCCCAGTAGGGGGTGTACGGGAGATAGCCAATCAATGATTCTCTCTCCTCGTGGATGTTTCTCTCTCTCTCCCTCTCCCTCTCTGAGTTAAATAAAAATATATTTTAAAAAATTAGCCTGCTCTATTTGGTCAAATATGTAATTAGCTCACCCCTCATGCCTTGGCAGGGCTAGGCCAAAGGGCCTTACACAGCTCACGGGGCAGACGTTCTCCACCCTGTTTTAAAGGACTGATCATTGTCCTATGAAAAACAACAGCAAGAACAAGAAAAGTAAAATAAACTCACCCAGATCTCTGACCCCACCCCCCAAAAAGGAAATATATTTTTAAGTTTAATCATAAGTTAAAAAAAAGGAGAAAACACCAAACCTACACACAATGCCAGTAACGTGTCAGATCTTTGCACCGAATGCTGTCAGTGAGGCTGGCGCTGGCACTGAACGCTCCCTGAGAAGCGAGCAGTCCCTCGGCCAGTGGGTGCAATGCAGCCACCCAGACGCTCACGGGCAGAACGCACGCCAGAGGGGAGCACGGCAACGAGAAGCAAGGGTTGCTGAAGTCTTTGTTCCTTTATCCTTTCAGTTTACAAAGTCCACGCACACCCAGCCAGGCTGTCGCCGCCTCAGGTGTGAAGGGAGAGGAGCCGTGGCTGGTGCTCAGTGCAAAGGACCAGGTGCACGTGCATTCAGTGCAATCGGGAGGCGTCAGCTTTCATTCAGAGCGGACGTCAAGCAAACCCCATCCCCACCCAAAAAGCAGAGCATTGCTCAGTGACTCCGTGATGGCAGCAACGGCGGGAGCACGACGCAGCTCCGAGGACAGCAGGCTGCGAAGAACCGTGTCAAACCCGACCCCCACACGTGATCTCTGTGTCAGAACTAAGGAAGGAAGAGGGCACGTAACGTAACACGTCACAAATGCCACCAGTCAGAACGGGTCTGGGAGGAGCACAGACAGACGGTGGGACCATTTGCAAATGCCTTTTTCAGAAAAACACTTTATCAGTGGAAAGAAGCCATTGTCCACGCAGTTACACAGCACGAGCTTTCAAGGGTTTGATTCTCAGACTACCTCTGGGTAACGCCTGGCCAGTTACATTCTTTCTTTCTCAATTTGAAAATGTTATGACTAGCAGATGAAATACCAGTGAATAACAATAAAGACAAGCTAATCCATGAAGAAACAGGAACTGAGCTTCTGCGTCCACCTACACCCGATTACTCTCCACTTTGAAAGCATATCAGGTCGGGCTTGAGCGGCCGGGAACAGCTGTGCCTGGACAGAGCGTGAAGGCGCTGCGGGAGGCAGCGTCTTCCGCTGTGGACACTCACGCTTACGCAGCAAACACGACTCCCGCATGTGGGGGTGTGCTGCCTTCCACTGGCGTTAGCCAGAATCACCACCGTGACAGCAAAGTGAATCCGCCCAAGAGAGAATTTGCCTTTGGCTGCGAGAGGCTGGTGTGGGCGTTATAATAAAATACAGAACACAGCTGTTCCCCCTGCCCAGGTTCAGGTGGCTACCTCTGTAGGAGGTGATGCAATTCTAGATAAACTTAGCTCTGAACTGTTTCCTAGGGAAACCAGGGGAAAACTTCCAGCCATATTTAAGGCAGAGAAAACAAACACGAATTCTCCAGAAGAGGATCGGCCAGAAGCCCCTAAGCCAGCAGGGTCTGTCCCGGCCCGCGGGCTGGCCCTAGCTTGGCGAGTGGCATTGCTGGGTGCTGCCGACGCTTCCCCTTCCCCCTCTCACCCGGGGAGTCCTGACTGCTTTCATGTGCAGCCCCGCTCGCTCCACTCTGGAGAGGGCCTCTCCCTTTTACCTTTAATGAGACGCATGCAGCCCTGCAGGGTAACAGGTGTCTGAATTTGGGGGAATCCACTTGCTATCAACAGGCTGCAGTGCACTGGGGGCCTTTCTTCCCTTTCCCTAGAAGCAGATGCGAGGACAGAACAGCAGGAGGGAGCACAGGCGGAGGGACAGGCGTCGGCAGGACGAGGAAGCTCGTGCTCTAGACTGCGTTCATCTGCGGAGAGAGGAAACGGAGGTCGTTTAGTGCCCGGCCCGGTGAGGGCAGGCTCACAGCTGTCACACTGTCTGTTAACAAAGAAGCAGGAGGACGATCCCAACAGCACAACCGCGGCCTAGAGGCTCTCAGCATGGCTCCCTCCGGGCCCATGGAGACCTGCCCATTCCCTAAGCTGACGGATCAGTGCTCTGCAGCTGGGGGCTTAGGCCTGCCACCCATCCGGGTGCACAAAGCTTCCGGCTGTTATGCAACCAGCAAATCTGCTCCTGCACACCAGGGAGGGACATGGGGGGAATGGTGGATGTGCCTACAGGCTGCTCAGCAGCTTTCTCTC